TCTCTCTAAGCATGTCCTTGGGTAAGAATTTAAAAACAAATATATTTATTAATTTTTGGTTTCTCAGGTAGAATATAATTACTTGGGGAAGATTAAAGTTACCGGACAAGGAGAATATACAAACTATTAAGTTAAATTTCTCTTTGTAAATGAAAAAATTTAGCACTTTAGTTTATCAATCAGTCCCTTGTAAGTTTGGTTTTCATGAATCATTTCAGTAACAGATCACACTTGCCAGCTCTAATCATATTTTTCTATATACATAAAATATTAAATGTGAAAATGAACAGAAAAGAGGTATATAGAAACCTCTAGGGAAAAAAATAGGTTACATCACTTCTGCAACAAGAAAGGACTATATATATCTCTAACCTAAAGAGGTTTATTTTACAAAACAAAAAATGAAGCCTTCCTATCAGTAGCATGATCCTCAAAAGTTCTAACTTTTATACTTAGTGATATGTTTTAGCGAATATATCTTATAAATCCTGATATTTAATAATATCAATTTTACCTCATGAGGCACTAAAGCATATTTCAGGAAAAATATAAGATAATTGATATTAAATATTAATTGTTATTCAGCTCCTTATTATTTAGTTAATATTTTTACTAGATTAATAATGTAGAACTGTATTTGATGACTAAATTTTTCTTCCTTTCAACATAGTAAACACTTGTATAATTATGACATTTTTAAATGGTTAAATCTTCTGCTATTTATTTTAATTCAAATCCAGTACATTATATATATTCAGAACACAAACTATTCATCTTCTTCTAAACCTTCAATTAAATTCCACAATGCAAACTTCTTGGCACTAGAACTGTTTCATGTTTATTCAACTGAGCCTGTGTCTTGAAAAAGTGTTGATGTTTGGGGGTTTTCTGGTGAGAATCCACATTCTGACATCACCTTGACTGTGACAGTGATTGGCTGTTGGAAGGCAAAGAAGAGTTTATAGCCAGCAAGAGCAAGTGAATGAGTGAGTGAGAGAGCAGGGGAAATACTCAATCTGTGTCACTCACTCCTGTGAGCCTGCCTCCTCATTCCAGGACTGCAAACGGGTAAGATTTAACATGACAGTTTCATTATCTTAAAATCAAACACTCCATGTTTTACATCTATGGACTTGGCTTTAAATTTTTAAAATTTAAATGTGGATATTATTGCACTGTATAGAATGGCTGTGTAATTTAATACTTGTTTAGCATTAAACTAGTACCTCAGATTTTAGATTCGTTCCAAAAGGTTAAGCTTATTAACCCATGCATGTAAATTCTTAATATTATGCATATAAACTAGAAAATTATGCTTTCTACTTTCTATCTCTGCATCTCATAGATAACTGCTTATTTCCTCATTCTGAGGCATTCAAGATAACCTGACTGAAATACTATTTTGCATTTGCAAATCTGCCTCCGATGTATGCAGAGCTCTCCATAAAGTATGCCTAATTAGTATTTCCATTATGTACAATATCTTTTCATTATGTTATACTTTCAGTTTCAAAGTGTTACTATCCTATAGTTCTGAAACCAGTATGGAAAAATATGTAGTACTAGAGAAATCAATGATATTGGTAGTTGATAATACTTTTCCCAATAAAAACTTGTAATGAGAGTGGCAAAACTATTCTTTAAGAATATTTAAATTGTTGTTTGGGTTATTATGGTTAATATAGAGGTTTTTGCTTTTGCTGAATCACAAAGTAAATAAAATGGGATTTATGTAGGAAGCCAATTGCTGCCTACCTGAATTCTTGGTTCTTTTTATACTACCCCCCTTTTGTTTTCATCTAGTTGTTTTTATGGTTATAAGAAATGTATGTAATAAAAACTCTTTCTACAGTCCTATGTATTTAAGTTTTTAGGTCTTTAAGATGTTATAAATACCCCAACTCTTTTTCATAAAGCTACAGAGCAACAATCTTCCTGTTTGTGAGTAGACTAGATTATAGCTGACAAACTTCAGAGTACTATTCAGAGCACCCCAAGAACAATGAAAGCTTCTTAAACAGCCCCCTTCAGGGACGAAGTCTCTTTATCCCAATGTGATCATCAAGAACTTTTTCTAAAGTAGGGAGGACTGTAAGGAAGCGTGTAGGCATCAAAATCAAAGACCCACTCTGCCACAAATAGAGTGTGACATAGGACCCAAGAAGCTTCTTTGGGCCTCAAGCCTTATCTTATGTAATGTTTATTTTAGTGCCAGGTACTTGGTAAGGGTGCAATAAACTTAGGGTGAATGAGGAGAAAATGCAAAATCAACCTTCAGGGTACGGTGTACACATGGGTTTTATACATCTTAAATATTACTTTTCCAAGTATGTGTATGGGGAAATTGCCATAACCATTACATATTGCTTCTCAAATGTGGCCAAATACTTTTTCTCTAACCTCTTCCAATTCAGATTTGTCAATACTGTGAACTTGCAAATTTACAAATATGATTTTACCAAGGCTTAAAACTATCTCATGTTTTTCAATTATTTAGAGGATCAAAAACAATAAAATAATACGCCTTGCTTCCTACACTATTTTGGCTTAAGCTGCTCAAAATATCTCTGTAATAACCATTGTCAAAAAATAATAATAAAATGAACAAAATGTCAATAAATAAATAAAATAAAATGTAGCCAAAGCTGTCACTCTGTATGAGAAAGCACTCACAGTTAAATGTGTATGTCAGTGCAAGTGGGAGGAGGGTGTTAATAGGCTGTCAGCTCAGTTTATGCAACCTCTATTAAACTGGATTTTATCAAATAGGATAAAATTAAGATAGGATTTCACTATCTTTCTTTATTTATGAGGAATCCACGTGGAACTGAGATCTTTGCATGGCTACCAACCCCAAGACTGTTCAGGAACTATTCCCACTCAGAGTTGCATCTTCAATTCTTCCCTGACTTTGGAGAGCCCTTGATCCATCTCATGACAGCTTCCCACACTAGTGATGGAAAGTTTAAATGGAGCTGGAGAAATACCTAATTTGAGGAAATTTGCCCCTGATATTCCAAGGTGAAATTCTGATGACTTCTTCCCGTAGAATCATCCTTAGACATGGCTCTTGGTGCAACATGCTACGAGAACAGTATTTTACATATTATGGATCACTTCACACATATAAAAAAAATACAAATATTCTAAGATATTTATAGGAAAATGGTGCCTACTCTCCATTTTACAAATGATCTTTTAGTTCAAAAGCTACATAGAAGCTGGAAATGCCTATAGGATTGTTGGCATTAAAACAATCATATAAATGTATTCAATTTTTGCTTAGTTTTAAATCATAAACAAAAGAAACAGACCCCATAACCACACAAACCATTCAATTCACTTAGCTGCTATTCCTACGTCAGTGATGCTAGTAGGCCTCCTAGCCCCAGAGTGGGGTATGCTAAGCACTCTTGCCCTTTGCAGTGATGAGACAGTCTTCTAGTGACAGATCACAGCAGAGAGGTTAAGACCAAATACAGAACTCAAGATTATTTAAACAGGAGGGTAAAGTCAGTCTTCTATGACTTAAATAAAAGGAACCATTTTTAAACAACAATAGAAATTTGGTCTTAATTACTCACAACCATAATTGGGCGGAAATAAAAACAAATTAAATACTTCATTGTCTAGTATGAGCAAAAAAAATTACTTTTAGTTTTAATGTTTATTAACTTTACTACTTCCTTCATTCCAGAAGCAATCACCAAAATGAAGACTGCTTTAATCTTGCTCAGCATTCTGGGAATGGCCTGTGCTTTCTCAGTAAGTTCTTTAGTAAAAACCTATTTTTATTTCCATTTTTATTTTTATGTCAAAGAGAGGATATGTAGTAATTAAATATTTTTTTAAACAGATGAAAAATTTTCACAGAAGAGCCAAGGCAGAGGATTCTGAAGAAAATGGGGTAATTAACTTTAATGTATTTCCTTGGCCTAACTACACTTGTTCTGGATGTATGTGCACATCAAACATGACTATATCATCTATTTTGTTTACGCAGGTCTTTAAGTACAGACCACGGTATTATCTTTATAAACATGCCTACTTTTACCCTCCTTTAAAACGATTTCCAGTTCAGGTAAGTATAAAAATTAATTTTTCTTTTCACCCATTACAATAGAAAGAGAATCAAATTTAAAGGTGAAACACTAAATTGGACTCTCACTGAAATGCAGCCAGAACGATCACTTACTACAAAAAATTTGTTTTTAACATAATAAAATAAAACTTATCCTTCATTCTCCTTTAAAATAGAGATACACCACACAGAGTAGAATCATTTTGGGTCCGGTCTAGAATATAATAAAAGTAAATACCTTGGCACATTGAATTCAGGTATTTTGGCTAACTCACTGACAATTAAGTCAATGATAAAGCCACTAATTGTCATGTTATAGTTGATTCAATACAGTCATACAGCTGTTTCACATCCAATAATTTTAGAGTCCTTTAATTGGCAGAAAAAATTTGACTTTATAAATAGTAGAGATCATTTAAAAAGAAATTCTTGATAATCAATGGTGATTACTGAAGATTTTCTGAACCTCTGACCTGTGTAGGTCACTAGAGCAATAAATATGTCATACACTGGAGTGTAATTTTTACATTGGCTCAAGATACGCAGAAGAAAGAGAGAACTTCATGAAGTAAACCAACATGCTTATGAGAAAAACATTCTTAAAATTTGAAAACAAAAAAGAAAATAGCTAAACTAAAAATAAGAGTTTCTGTTTTTATTGGGTTACCTGTGAAGAGGGCCTTTGAAAAGTGGAGGGTGTGGTGTTGATTTTAAATATACAACAAACCAGAATTGCACTATTTTTATTCCTATAAAACGATGCCTCAGCACAGTGGCTTGGCATAGCATCCTACCATATGTCGGGCTAACCCATGTCTAACTCATACAATGATAGGAAATGATAATTTTAAAGTATTTCTAGCACCATAATAATTATGGGAAATGTGTGTGGCCAAAGAAATATGAGCACAAATGATACAAGAGCTGTGGGTTTTCAGAATTGTGTTCTATTCTTTGGTTCACTCTCAGGCCCATAAACAAACATCGCTCATTTGAAAGTTTCCTAAATATTAGGTTCTTAAAGATATCCCCACCTAGATGCTTATATATATTTTAATTGGACCATATTGATATTATGATGATATTAGGAAATGTTTTATTTTTCATTGATAGACTCCAAGTTCATAGATCTTTAAATATACCTTTAGTATACAAAATTTCCACAAATTATATGCAGATAGGTCCATCTCAACTAATTAAGAGTTTGTAAGTAGGACAGTTGTTTTAAAAAGAATCCAATAAAACATATCTCCTGATCTAACAGTCTAACCCAGGGTTTATGATATATTCTTCTATTTTGCAAAGTTTGATTTCTAGGACTTTTTTTCTTACATGTCTACTTATATATTTTTCATAGCTCTTATATATTATATATATATAAAAGACTTTTGGAAAACCCATAAGACTTAGTGACAAATTGGCAATAAGGCATAAATGAGAGAAAGGAAAATAAGAAAAAGCCAAGGCTTCAAGACATTACATGCAGTTTTAAAATTGTTCTCACTGCAGATATTAATTGAAGAGTGATGTGGTTGAGGTAGGAAGAAAGCTAGACATGAGGAAGTTTGAAAAATGATGAAATACTCCCAATATGCTGCATAAATATGCTGTCCTCTCTATATAATTTAACTAACAAATAAAATAAAAGTAGTTCAAATATAATGTCACTCTTTATTTACTCTCTGGGCTGGAGAAAGCAACAACCATTAAGGTCATGGCAGTGGAAGAGCAGGTCTAATTATTCTCTTTTCCACCCAAGGTTATTCTTGGCTAAGGGGACAAGCATTCCCTTTCGTTGGGTTGGTGGTGTGGCCACCTGAAGAATGAAACCAGCAGGGATGGCCCTGAGCAGGATTGGATCTTGACTGTTTCCTGAAGTCTGATCTCTAACCTGGGGTTCTTCTGCAGCTGTATTTCTAAGACCCATGGAACTTAACTGAGTCAGAATCAAAGTTAACATCTGCAAAGTAGAAAATGACAGAATCATAAGTTGGGTGTCCATTTGTATACCTGTTGCCATTAAAAGTGGTGGCAGGAAAAGAAGGAAAACTCCATTTGGATCAAAACTGGGAGAAAGATGAAGAATCCTCTACTGTCTTAAAGGCTCTGAAAGCAAAAGTTTAGATTTACATTTTCTTTTAAAAAGTGGCAAATCTCCTTAACTTATAATTATATATTTATAACAGATTCCTTTGTTTAATTTATTCTCATTCAATATTCAGCTCTCTAGAGGGCTGGTACTGTAAAATCTCCTAAATGAGTAAATGAATTAATTTTTCTCTTATATAACTTTTAATATACAGGGTGGGCAAAAGTAGGTTTACAGTTATGAATATGCGAGATTATTCTTGTATTATTATTTATTAATTATTATATTATTTATTTGTATTACAACTGTAAACATACTTTTGCCATTCCTGTATATATATTAAAATTTTAGGTATTAGTTTTAGATGGAAAGATATTAAAAATTATATGCAAATTTAATTTCAAGTCAAATTCTAATTTAAATTCATCAGGAAAACTCATTATTTAAGAGAATCACTGAGTAACAATCACTTTATAATAAGCCTAATAATTTTATTCATATTTTATAAAGAAATGAAACAATGTATCTATGCCTAGCCCAAGATTTGCCTTGAACTGGTTGACATCACAGCCATTCTGGGCTTTAGATTCCTTCTCTGTACAAGAAAGAAATTGGACCAGATAATCCTCTTGGTCTCTCAGAGTTAAGCAATTTTGGGGTTCATTGCTTAAGTTTTTACATATGAAGTATTTTAACATATTGTCTATGCTTTGGGGTTAAAAATGTAGTATCTCATGCACATCTTGATCATTGTAAAACGCTTTTTCCTCTCACACCTCATTTTATATGTGCTCAGTCTCCTCCTAGCTTTCTCACATTAGCATGAGAACTGCTCTAAGTAAATAAATGTAAGTCTACATATATATCCACATATGTATGAATTCATGGGTATGTTTTTTAGAGCAGTGACTCATCTGAAGAAAATGGAGATGGTGATAGCTCTGAAGAAGAGGAAGAGGAAGAGGTAAGACATTTCTGTGGTTTTTGTCATAACAAACCAGGCAGCACAAAAACAAATAGGAGACTAGTTTACCATAGTAGGGACTCAGCAAACCGCCATTGCCAGCTTACCAACTGCCCACAGTCTTCTATTTTGGACAAGTAAAATGTTATTTAAATTAGAATAAACTAAAATATCTTGTTTAAAACATTATTGCAGTTTGGGGTTGAAGTTATAAATGGTACACAAAATCAAAAGTGTCTCCATTTTAAGTGGAAGAAGTATGAATTCTGATAAATAGGAAAGAAAGCATTATTTATATTTAAGTGGATAGAATATGGTGGTTTGTAAAAGGCAAATACATAGTGAAATGCTTATTTTAATGACTAAACTTAAAAAACTTAATTTACTAAGTGAGTATTGTATGCGAAAGCTAATCTTATGCCCTCTACAGTGTTATTGTGAGTCATCTTCCTTTCTTGACCCACCAAAATAGGTTGATCTTTTTAATAGGAATTTCATGTATTTTTTGTCTAATGATAAAATTCATGTTCTTACAGAAACGGAAATACTCAAGATGTAAAAAATACCTTCTGATATGGTACTACAAATCAGTGTAGTTTTGGCTAAAATTCATCTATATATTTTGGAAATTGTGCTAGCATGTTTATAACTGACACTCTTGCCCAAGGAAACATACTAATTAGGTACATTTTCCTGGATTGTCAATTATAGCAATCCACTGGTTTGGGAACCTTCTAAATTCCATTATTCATATGTACTATTTATGAACAGACAATGACAGTCAAAAATGGCTCATGAATAAATATCTGTTGTCTTGAAAACAAAACAGTGTGGGAACTTTAAAAACAACAAATAATTAGTGTAATTTTTTTTAAATGTAAAATTAACATTTCCAGTACAACGATTTACCCTAATAACTTAAAGGAAGGCCCTAACAAGAATGTCAAGCCAGTACCAGGAAAAATGCCACCTACTAAATCCCACACATTTTTGCCTGTAGTTCCACATAGTAATCTTACACAAGAACTAACCTAGGGTAATCCATTTAACTACCGCTGTTTGCTGTACAGTGATTGTAAAATTGCCTTGCAGCTACATTTCCCAATTAGATTGTATACCTTTTGTTAGTGGTTCTTGTTGTGATAATGGTTGGGGGTGGAGGAAGAATAGGACTCCTTTAGGATTCTAATGAAATCACACACACTTAAAATTCTGCCAACAGTCTCTGAACATTTAGGGTCCTTCAAGAAGTTATCTTCAAACTCCCCATGACCCAGGAAACTTGGAAACTATAAGTTTCATTCTTCTTCTGTATCTCCTCGGACCAAGCAGCACAGTTTCTTATACATATATGGTGTCCAGTAAACATTTGGTGGTTTGGTTTTGATCCTTCAGAGGAATAAATGCTCCAAAGATCATTCGTTAAAAGTGATCATGGAAAAGTGGATGACTAAACCTGGGAGTCTTCCATTCTACAGAGATTCTATAAGCACTTTCCCTCCATTTCTTCCCTAAAAGTTCATTGGCAATTCAGGTTAAATACAGTCACCAGGAATTGTATTCACACGAGAAGGTGTTTAGGCACATTTTCTATTTAGAAAACATACATATTTTCCCATTTCTAAACTATCCAGCCTCAAAAAATATAAAACATCTATTGAAATATAATACACATAACACAATTATCATAAGCATACAGACTACTGAAATTTCAGCAATTGACACACCAGTGTAACCAGCACTCATAGCAAAAAGCAGTACATGCTTTGGGCTCCATTCCATTCATTAACCAAGCCCCACCAAGGGCAACTGCTATTTTGACTCCTATCAGATTGTTTTACCTCTTTTTGTGTATTATATGTATATACGGAATCACACAGCATATACTCTTCGTGTGTGTACTGTTCTACTCTCAACTTCAGAGACTAATCCATATTGTTCAATAGTTGTAAATTATTCATTCTCATTGTTAGTATTCATCATATGAATTTACCACAATGTATTATTATTCTGTTTATGGGCATTTGGGTAGTTCCAAGTTTGGGTTATAACAAAAAGTGCTGCTACGAACACTCTAGTATTCCTTCTGGTGAACATATGCATTCATTTCTGGTGTCCAATTTACCTAGAAGCAGGTAAAATGCTATGCATATGTTCAACCTGAGCAGATGCACCTGAGCAGTTTTCCAAAGCAGATGTGAACTCCCACTGTCAGTATGAGGGTTCCAGTTATTCCATGTTTTCACCAACACTTTTTCCTTCAGTCATTTTAGCCATTCTAGTGGGTTAATAATACTTTTGAAAGCACAAGTCATTGCTAATTTTTTTATCCAATAAGACATTTGAAGCCTAATGCCCATCAACAACAGACTGACCTATTTTTCCTTTTCAACTTACTGCAGCAGGACATCCTCAAATAAAATATCTAGGAAAAGAAAGGGTACTGTAGGACAAAATGTAGATATCTATAAATTGGGAGTTTGGGTCCATATTCATAACTCTGCCACTAATTAACTGCTGTCTATTTGACCTAATATGATCCATCTATTCCATTGGACCTCAGATTTTTCACCTGTGAAATGAGGGTACAGGACCCAACTTGTGTATCTTCTTACAGTAAAGATCTTTCCTCCTCTATGCCTGAAAAATTTAGTCTGTTGGACTAAAGCATAAACATGAAAGAATAGATAAACAGTATGGTGTTTGTGGACTATTTAACACAATTAGCTTGGAGATGGTTTGGGGGTTGACTCTAGTATTCCCAAGAGTACATTGAAACAGTGGAATTTACAAATTTGCTTTAGTTACTTGTTTTAATAATAAGGCAGGCTAAATATGAGTTTTGTTTGTTTGTTCTTCAAGTCTTAAAATATAGAATCCTTAAAGTAATCTTAATATCACAGTATCTTTAAAAATATATTAAAATGAATTCAATTTTCGAGGACTTAGATTCTATGTGTATGAATTCCTGATTTTTAATATTAGCTATGAAATACTTTGTGTGATTAGTCCATTGTCTAACAACATGGAGTAAAAGAAGAAGACTAAAATGTTAAAAGATTCTAGTAAGCATTCATTTGAGGAGTGGGAATTTAAAAATATATATATTCATGCAATAGCATAATATATTACTAAGGATTTCTTGGAGAGCTTTGTTTCCTCATTGCACAGAAAAATTGTGTGTCAAATCCTGACATCTTCTGAGTACTGCATACGGCACAGAGCTGGCTTACATATTGGCAGATGGATTTTGAATTAAATATATCTTTTTTCTTTTAATAAGTTAATGAGATGTGTTTACTTCTTTTGGTGGTGAATAAGACATACAATCAATTAGAAAGGAGTTGGTTTATATAAAAAAATCCCCTTTTGAAAAACATATCCTAGGTGTAGTGTGGACAATTCACATAAATTCTAATCATCATCTAAAACTTCATAATACATTACAAAGGGCTCAGCTTTTTGAGTTAGAAAGATAATAGCTTTGTCACTTACTAGGAGAACTTTAGCAAGTTATTCAGCTTTCCTGAGCTCAATTTCTTTCTCTAAAGAGGAAGAACAATACTCCTACATTACAGGGCTGCTATAAAGAACAGAAGAAAAACAGGTACCAAGTTCTCAGCTTATTTGTCAGCAATACACGAATTAATTTACTACCACACTGCAGTAGTTATTAAGACCTTTGAATTTTCAGTATTTAAATTAAATAATTTTAATCAACTTCAATTTAATGAAACTTAAATATAATTAATGAAAAAGACTTTAATGGATAGACTTTAAGAGCCTAAGCCCTGCGTGATGATGTGATACCTATAGTAAGATACGCTGACATTATGACACAAATATTTTTGCATCGATTAAACAGAATGTAGAAATACCTAAAACACACTAGAGTGAGGTCAACGGTGAGCGATAACTTTGAGTTCTTAGAAGTTAGAAGCGCCAATGGCGTGAGAGGAAGCAGAGCTATCCACACTGGGCGGTGAGCGGGTTGAGGGACACAAAGATCCCCCCAACAGTGCTTCATGACTCCCACAGATCGTGAGTTATCCTCCGGCTGAAATAACTTTCCTTGCTCTGGGCCCTTCTCCCAGGAGAATTCAAACGAAGAAGAGAACAACGAGGAGTCTAACGAAAACGAAGACGAGGCCGAGAACGCCACCCTCTCCGCCACGACGCCCGGCTACGGCGAGGGGACCACGCCCGGGGCGGGGACCGCGGGCCCGGCCGCCC